ATGTTTCCGCATATAAAAGCTATCTTCAAGTTTTGTACACCAAAAAAAACTTTTCAAGTATTTTATATTATGTTTTTTTATCGAAAAGCAATAAGTAATATGTGACATAATTTCTCAATATATTCGTGTCTATCTTGAAAGTATATACAAGTAACATACGAAGAAGAAATACCTCAAATGCTTGATAGAATTTGAAAACGAAATGCTATTGTAGAATTAATGTTTCAACGCTTATGATTGTAACTAATTTATGTTTTTGCCCTAAATATAACAGTGATGATTAAAAGTACATAGACTGTATGTATACCCCAAGTGATGAAAGAGGAAACTGGAGAAATTCCGTCATAAGGGCCACCCCTCTCCGATCAGTACTCGTAATGACCACCCCCACTGTCTGATCAATATTTAGTCATCACTGGAGCTATGAAATCTATACATTTGAAAAGAAAAATAACTTCTTGATACATCCCAAATTTACTAAACCATATTTGCCAGGTCCAAATGCAAAAGCATTGGAGGAGTTAGAGGATTTCTCTCAAAGTATAGCATTAGTAGGATTTGGAGGAGTTAGAGGATTTCTCTCAAAGTGTAGGATTTGGAGGAGTTAGAGGATTTTTGTTGTTAGTCTCGTTTATCTTTTCCATTATTTATTGTACAAGAAAAAAAGTATTGCAACTATTGTTCAATTTTAGCATTCAACCCTTCAATATCTCTTCAGTTGTTTGATACACAGTCATTGTTTGAACTCTTTATGGACCCAATTGTGATTTTGTTAGTTTTACAGGGACCTTAATAACATTTATATAAATAACGGCTGGAGACGGCTTGAATGGGTAATGAAGAAAAACTTTAATATAAGTTTAACCTAACATCAAATGTACAACGTTTCGACAAGGTTTTGTGTAAATTACTTGTACCTGTTGTACATTTGCTGTTATGTTAAACTTATATTAAAGTTTTTCTTCATTACCCATTCAAGCCGTCTCCAGCCATTATTAGTCTCAAAGTGAGTTCCTCGTCATCGAAAAAATATATATAAACATTTGAACCAACAACATTCCAATTAATCCCAGTAATTAAAAGGGGGTTCTATATATATCTTACATGGATGAAACCAGATTTAACGTTCTTTTTTGGGGAGAGGAAATGGCAGTTATATATATATACACTAAGTTTTGTAACAGGTGGCTCAGCGGTAAGACAATGGGTTTATAATCGAGTTAAATACCCGCGGTGGGCAGAGTACAGATAGCCCGTTGTGTAGCTTTGTGCTTTACAACAAACAAGAAAATGTAACGGGCGAAAACATAAAACTAGGTAATACGACGTAGCAAATGTAGTGTATCGGAAGTGAACGGTATAAAAACAAGTCAGTAATTTCAGTTAAATTTGTTATGGAATTACGTTGAAACTACTAGATTGTAAAGTATTATAGGTAGATTTTGACGAAATAGAATAACCGAAATCATTTACAGAAACATCTGTCTTTACCGTTAGTACTAATTACCTAAAAGTAATATTCGTTGTTTCCACCAGAAGATCAGAGTTCTTTGCAAAACTCCTAAAAACATAACTTGGTATCTGTTTCATTCCGCAAAACCAAGTTTGCTGAACCAGACTCTACTAAAAGAATAAACTACTTATTACACGAGGGGCCTTGTGGAGTGGAGCAGGTGTTATTACAACGAAAGTTTATTGCAGATCTTGAGAGAGGGAAACGGATAATAATTGTATGCCACTGAAGTTAACTGGTGACACTTTTTGTGGAGAGTGTCTTGTAAGTGTATATTTGTTTCAGAGCATAGCCATACTAGGCTATCTTCTGTGTCCACAGCAGACAATCAAAGTCCGGATTTTAGCGTTCTAAGTGCGTAAACATACCGCTGATCTACTGGGAGACTGTGATAGGTAAATACATGCAATAATTATATAACATTGAAGTTAACGAGTGATACTTTGTGCTTGTGTGTGTCGTGTGAGAGGATCACAAACAATAATTATATAACACTGAAGTTAACGAGTGATACTTTGTGTGTGTGTGTCGTGTGAGAGGATCACAAACACACACACATACACAAAGTATCACTCGTTAACTTCAGTGTTATATAATTATTCATGTGAGAGGAACACAAACAATAATTATATAACGCTGAAGTTAACGAGTGATGCTTTGTGTATGTGGGTGTCGTGTGAGAAGAACACAAACAATAATTATATAACACTGAAGTTAACGAGTGATACTTTGTGTATGTGTGTGTCGTGTGAGAGGATCACAAACAATAATTATATAACACTGAAGTTAACGAGTGATACTTTGTGTATGAGTGTGTCATGTGAGAGGAACACAAACAATAATTATATAACACTGAAGTTAACGAGTGATACTTTGTGTATGTGTGTGTCATGTGAGAGAAACACAAACAATAATTATATAACCTAATATTCACTAGTGACACTGCGTGTGTGGGAGGGATGATAGAGAGAAACGAACTATAAATATATAACACTGAAATTAACGAGTGATAAGTTTTTGGGGGAGATGTTAGTTTGATAGTCAGTTAACAGTGAGCATCAGCCTTAGATTTTATGTATAATTGTAACGTTTTGTAATCAGTTTTTTAGCTGTAGTTGTAACATTTTGTGATCAGTTTTTTAGCTGTAGTTGTAACATTTTGTGATCAGTTTTCAAGCTGTAGTTGTAACATTTTGTGACCAGTTTTCAAGCTGTAGTTGTAACATTTTGTGACCAGTTTTCAAGCTGTAGTTGTAACATTTTGTGACCAGTTTTCAAGCTGTAGTTGTAACATTTTGTGACCAGTTTTCAAGCTGTAGTTGTAACATTTTGTGACCAGTTTTCAAGCTGTAGTTGTTACATTTTGTGACCAGTGTTCTAGCTGTAGTTGTAACATTTTGTGACCAGTGTTTTTACCCAGGATACCACGTTTGGAAATCCACGATGGTTTCACTCAAATATTCTGGAGTTGCTGTACGAAATATTTTTCTTCTTTACGTGGAATTTTTTACCTAATAGCCATCTAACAAGTTTTTTAATACTTGAAACGACCCTCGACATGATGAGGAATGTACACAGAAGCCCGTGCACTTGTGAGAATAACAGCTCGAGCGTTTGATGTGCGTCCACCACAGTTTTAGGAAGAAAATCGAACTCTTCCGTGCACATAGAGGTCGTTGCTTTCTTTTTTTCCTTCCACATAAACTGAATAACGCAGATGGAAAGTCAGTTTTTCTTATACTGAGCGGTGAAGTGTGTAATTGGCTTGATGCTGTGCGTCGTAAACACCTATATTTTGCTGCTTAAATTCACGCTATTTTTGGCCACGATAAAGCGTAGTTTTCAGACTCTTTAATATTTGCTTCAAAAAAAATATTTTTTTTTCCAGGAGACTTAAGCTGAAAATTGAATTGGAGAGTATATTCAAGCGGAGGGACTATTTCAGGAGCTACTTAACATAGTTTACCCGAATTATTATTAAAAGTTGCAACTTAAAATATTTTTTGTTTCAAATTGGAATGAAAACACTAGTAATGACACAAGACCACCTAGGGTGCTACAATATAATAGATGATATTTTCCCAGTTGTACAGACGAAGATGCGATGGAGTTAACTGACATTAACTCGCAAAATAACATGTTAGATCTAGATGTACACAAACCTTGTTAGTGAAGTACACGGT